ACACAATTTATTACTGTAACTTGGTGTCTTTTATTGAATCATACAAATTTGAATGGGGTTTCCTGAATAAATCTTTTACATAACTTACCTTTGGCAGAAACAGTAGATTTCGAAACATTTACAAACTTCTCATTTATATAACTTTTCCTCTTTATAAATTCCTTTGCATGTTAGTATTTTCAAAACAATACTTTTAAACAGATGTGCTTTAACACTCAGCTGGTCATGATGTGATTTCCATCGTAGCTTATTTAAGAGAACAATTATTTACAAGGGGCAGACGAGGCATGTATTTCTTTTAAAAATACAATTTTTGGTCATGTGAATGATTTTCTGATTTCAAAAATAGAAAACATCCTAAAGTGCGTCATTTTATTTATAATATAACTCCTTGAAATTATAGCAATCTGCAATGTAAACAGTAGAGCAGAGAATACCAAACTATATTTTCATTTGCCTTTACATTTACAAGGTTAGGTACCGTCTTTAAGTGTGTGGATGAGACCAGGGCGCTTCGGACACATTGCTCACGCTCCTACAGAAACATACTTAGGAGCAAACTTGGAGGCGTTCTTTCTCACCCATCTCAGCTCGAACAGTTTGCAGTTGACAGAGCTGCCCCCTCACTTTAGCGAGGGGGAATGCTGCTGTAAATCCCATCTGACCAGTTTCTCAAGAACCCGTTTTCTGAAACTGACAAATGGTCAATAGAGTTTTATGTTTTCTTCTTTTTAAAAACACACACACAAAATGGCACAACACAGAGGTGGGGGTCCCGTGGTCCTGTTCAACCTGCAACACTGTCTTCAAAAGGCAGAGCTGCCGGAGCGCCCCCTCCCGGCAACCAGCGGCTGCAGCGGTGTGCGGACCCCTGCCCGGCCTCGCAGCGCACAGGGCGGACCCAGGACGGACCGAACCAGAATCCACTTTCCCTGGTGCGGACATAAAAGTGTAAAAAGTAACACAAATCACGAGGTGATGTCCGCACACTGTGGAGATGAATGATTTGGTGTCTGAAGTTCCCTGGTCCCTCCATAATGTCTAATATAGACAGCTTTGTGACACAGTCTTTGAAAAAAATTATCATAATCGGCTACACATCATTTGTTCTCTTTATACATGATCTTGAAATAGTGTGATTTAGAGTCTGCCTTGGGCTGCGATCCAAGGGCCACATTTACCCCCGAGGGAGGGGATTTTAGTGCAGGTTTACTTAAAAAAAAAAACACGAACACCTGGTAAGTACTCAGGTGGCTGAGAACACGGGTGCTCGCTCTCTCTCTCTCACGATCCTCATGCACTTCGGCTAAGAGTGAAACAAGGCCCTTCCCGCGTGGCTGATGCCAACACGAGACCGAGCCCCACACGGGAGCCCACACAACACGCTGGCCTCGCTGTCTGATGCTCAAATCCCAAGATGGTGAGTGCAGCCAACGTTCAGGAAAGGCCTCTCCCGGCGCGTCACCCTGTTACCGGATTTAAAAATCGGCGTCAGCGTAGCTCCTGCCACCCTCCCTTTGTCCTCTGCGGTGACCCAGGCCCGCAGGGATCACGGTTCCGGGGCAGCGGAGGGCGCCTCGAAGCACACGGGCAGAGATGTCTGCGCTGCTTCTCTGGGCAGACGCAGCTTCCATCGCCCCGAGAGCTGACGAGAACAATTCACACGCGTGGGGAAGGCGCCGCTCCGTGGACAGGTCACAGGATTGGCCGAGGCGGCAAAGAGGGCTGCAGTGCACGGCCCCATTTACGGGGCCCCGAGAGCACAGGGAGCTGCCCAGCAAGTTTGCTCCCGGAAGGCCCGAGCTGGGTCTCATCGAAGTTAGACTGCATTCGTCTAGCCATGGGGGCAGAGTGCACATCCTCTGTGGATGAGGTGCCTCCACGCAGTGATTCATCACCGCTAGTGTCAGAAAGGCTCCCGCGAGTGTCCGAGTGCCGTGAACGCAGGGACCCGACTTTTCCTTACAGGATTCCCAAGTCAGGACCAGCGCGGCCTTCTCCCAGCAGGTGGCTTCTAAGGCCGACGATGGAGACGAGCCGCCCCCAAGGCTTGGAGGCGGAAGGGCTCCATACTTTGCAGGTCCAGCTCTGAGGCTGCCTCCCAGTGTCTGCAGAGCGGCTCTTCCCCGGGGGAGGCAGGGTCACCGTGCACGCCGGCCCCTCTGCTCGGGCGGGGCTGCCCCTCACATGGACTTGGAATCAGCATCTCTCTTGCTGATGAGCACCTCCAGGAGCCGTAGTTTCGCCTTGATGTGCTTGTATTCGCTGTACTCTTCAGCCATAGGAGTGCGGTCTTCCTTCTGGACATTTCTAACGGAAACAAAGGACAGGGGGCTGAGGATCACTGGCCGTCTCCTGGATGATGCTGTTCAGCGGGCGCGTCATCAGCGGAAACATGCAGCTTATCAACCCGTAGCATCAGTGTGGCCAAGCGCCACTGGGGGCAAGCCTGGAGCTGGGCTTAGACACGCAGTGAAGGACAAGGATCTGCATTTTGTAGGATGACACGAAGGACTAAGAAATGGAGAAATGTCCTGTTTCTGCTGCTGGTATGTATGCACTCACATTAAGATCTCCCTACATGGAAATCCTTTGTTTCTACTTAATGCTTTCTCACTTTTACATATTTCATCTAATAAACCATTACATTTCTAGTTAGCAATTGGTACATCCATAATTTGTGTTTTTTAACTAGTTATTATAGTATTAGTCTTAGAATTCAACAACTGAGTCATATATTACTAATAAGCCCTTACCATCCACGAGTAATTCTACATGCATTCTCTTACACGCACAGTATCCGTGGAGAGCGTGATACACAGGGAGGCCCTGTGCTGAGTGGCTCTGTCTCCGGGGTGTAACATAACCCCCAGGATGGAAGCTGTGGGCCTGTCACCCACACCGCACACGGGCTGAGCGCAGGCCGAGAAGCCAGTCCCGCTGCAAAGCCCCGGCTCCCATCACCGGGCGGTGCCATCCGCTTCTTGCTTCACCTTGAAATGCACACGTCAGACGTTCAAACACCAGGCTTCCTTTTCTTTTTATTAAAGAACATGGGAAAGGCAATAGCGTGGACCTTATTTTTACGCTGTTCAGTGAACGAAAAACAAACGTATTTATTGCTGGCCTGCCTTGTTCAGGGAAATGATTCTAGATGGCTTCCTGGCACAGGGTAGTGAAGGACCAGGGTGGTGGGCAGAGCCCCGGCCGGGCCCTTCAAGGGGCTTTGATCTCCTCAGACACAAAATGAAGAACCAGATTTTACAATGTCGGAAGTCCCCTAGAGTTCGAACCTTCTACGATGATTGTGAGTTCCCATCAATTATACTTTCTGATTACTTGTGAAGTTTATACAATTATATATGTACTAGGGGCCCGGTGCACGAAATTCGTGCACTGGGTGGGGGTGGGGGGGCGGGGGAGTGTCCCTCAGCCCAGCCTGCCCCCTCTCACATACTGGGAGCCCTCAGGCGTTGACCCCCATCACCGTCCAATCGCAGGATCGGCCCCTTGCCCAGGTCTGACGCCTCTACTAGAGGCGGCAGGCCTGGGCAGGGGACCCCCAGACCCCTCCGATTGCTGGCTCTGCCCCTGGCCCAGGCCTGATGCCTCTGGCCCAGGATTCAGGCCTGGGCAGGGGACCTCCCGCTCCCCCCATCCCCGGCTCCGCCCCCCACCCAGGCCTAATGCCTCTGGCCCAGGCATCAGGCCTGGGCAGGGGACCCCCAACCCCCTCGGATTGCTGGCTCCGCCCCCCGCCCAGGCCTGATGCCTCGGCCAGAGGAGTTGACCCTAATCACCATCCGATCGCCGATCACTGGATCGGCCCCTTACCCAGGCCTGAGGCCTCCGGCAGAGGTGTCAGGCCTGGGCAGGGGACTCCCAGCTCCCCGCGATCACCCGCTCTGCCCCTGCCCAGGCCTAACGCCTCTGGCCCAGTCATTAGGCCTGGGCAGGGAACCCCCAGTTCCCCCGGCTGCAGGCTCTGCCCCTGCCCAGGCCTAATGCCTCTGGCCGAGGCGTCCGGCCCGGGCAGCGGGGACCCGCAGCAGCAGCGGCCCCGCGATTGTGGGCTCCACTTTAGGCCTAGGCAAGGGACCCCTAGCTCCCAAGACTGCCAGCTTCGACCGTGCCCCGATCCCATCGCTGGCTCCACCCCTACTTCCTGCTATCACTGGCCAGGGCGGCAAAGGCGCCCGATTCTCCGATCATGGCTCTTAGCTCCCCGCTGGGTTCCGATCACTGTCAGTGGCAGGGGGCTTCTTCCTGCTTTCCCTTTTGCCTCCCTGCATTGTGCCTACATATGCAAATTAACCGCCATCTTTGTTGGCAGTTAACTGCCATCTGAGTTGGCAGTTAATTTGCATATCGCCCTGATTACCCAATGAAAAGGGTAGCAGTCGTACGCCAATTACCATATTTCTCTTTTATTAGTGTAGATAGGACATATATAGGACATGTATAGGACACCTGCACAGAATGTGACTATAATTATATGGGAAAAAAAGGAAACAGACAAACCAAAAATGTGTCTAGAAAGAAGACTGGAAAGAAACACATCAGAACATTAATCCTGGCTTGTCTTTGCGTATTAGTATTACTTCCGAGGTGATTTCTTTTATCTGCTCACCTATATTTTCTAAATACCCTGCAACACATGGAGGGGAAAAAAGCAAATATTTAGGTATAAAATTTATAAATCTCGAGAAAGTCATTAGAGGACAAATCCAAATCAGAAACCCTAAACCTAAGTGTATGCAGTGACTGAAATAAACTGGAAAACAACACATTCTACATGCCAAAGTTCATTTTTATGGCTCTTTCATTTCCCAACACCTTTGAGAAGTACGAAAGGGGACTAACTTAATGAGAAACTCTATCTATACTGTTCAGATAATTGGATGAAAATAAAATCAATTCCAAATGATAAAACAACTCCAGTGCAAGAGACGCAAATCCATCCCCTGCTCTGCCCCTGCCTCCCGCTGTGGCCCGAGCCAGACATGCTGGGTGCAGTCGCTTGCAAAGGGAAGACGATGCTCAGCACAGCGCTACCGGAAGATTCCACTGGCCTTAGACTCGCTGGAGAAAAGTGCCCTGTCAGTCAGGCGGGTGCACTGCTTCTTGTATATTTTTCATCCAAATGTTACTTTTAAAATGTGCTTTAAAACCAGCAAGATTTAAAGTCCTCAGTTCCCTATTTCTCCTTCTAGTTTCTTCAGACAAAACACAAAAACAAGCCAGTGCTGTTGACTGGAAACGGAGCTTCAAGCTGCTCGTTTTAGATTACGATGCGATGTGACAGGTTTGCTTTATAAATGCTGGTTCAGTCTACATGGGTTGTTGGACACCCCCCAAGAAGCACCCTTACGGACCATGCGAACCTTATAGCCTCCCAGTCGACCTCGAAAGGGGCCCTGGGCACAGACCCCGGGCCTGGGCCACAGGGAGAAGGATGCAGAGGGCCCCGCCTGGCAGGGATCCCACAGCCCTGCCAGGAAAGGAAAAGGATGCCTGTGCAGGGGTGGGGGAGGGGAACACATGCACAACCTTCCATTTTGTCTGAAGAAATTGTCCTCAAATTCGCGAAGTTTCTTTCGAATCCTCTTCTTTTCTTCTCTCATTTCCTGAAGGTGTTCCAAGAGTTCTGGCCTAAGAGGGGGGGGCAGGGGGGAGGGGAACGGGAAGAAAATCGAGTTAAATCTGAATTGTCATAAATGCAATCAATGTGCAACTCGGTGGGGGTTGTGGACACTGGGGGAAGCAGGTATGTGCAAAAACTGTCGAGGGAGCTGAGGGTCAGTGGAAATGCATGATTTCTATGCCCTGAAACACTGACAACAGCTCTGGCTCCTGCTACTGGTAAATTCTTTGGGCCTGTAAATCCCAGGTGCTTTGTCATTGTTTTGAGAGAAAGAGATGACATCTGTGCTCAGTGAGTGCTGCATGATGGGCCGTGGAGGATAGAGCTACTCAATGCCATTTGTAGAGACTGCCTGGTTGTATAAGCAAGAGCTCAGATGCTCCCTCAAATAACACAGGATAAAGCATATACAAAAACGGAGCCCGAAATTAAAAAGTCACTGTTTTAGTCACACAGACGCACCCCAGGTGAGTCACTTGTGTTTTGTTGGCCAATGTAAGTATAAAGGCTAAAATAATATTTAGGAAAGTTATCTTCACCCAAATATTTTACCACTGCCACCACCAAAACGACATACATGGAAGCAGCATGCAGGTTTGAAAGCCCGGAGTCCTGGCTGCACTTTGATGGCATTTTATCATCCATCGGGGAAATAAACCCATCCGCGCCATCTTCAAATTGGTCGAGAAAGCAATGAGCGCTGAACTCGGTTTTCAGAGTGACTGTGAAGTCTGGCTTGGTGTTGCTATCGTCTTCTGAACCCTCCTCTTCTTCCTGGAGACACACAGCAACCCCAGCCAAAATCTGGTTACTTTTCCTGGTACTCTTTCATTACAAGTATCATTTAACAATCTTAATTATCTCGACACCATAAGGTTTCTTCTATACCTACCGTTAGCAACACCTACATGCCTTATGTACATATTATCGAACAGCTATATGTACACAGCAGGTAACACAAACTAAACACAGCCACTCAATAGGGAAAAAAACTATAAAAATTGGTGTACACCACATTTAACATTTTAAGGCTGAGGTAGGAAGGAACAACCATCATACTTTATACCCTCAATCAAAAGAACCAAACTAATCTAAAGATTCTAAGACAAAACAGGACAAAACCCACCATTGGAAACCAGTTTTCAGAATTCTATTGCTTGCATACCTCAGGACATATTTTTTATTAAGCGATGAACGTTCTTAGAAATAGGACATTATAGCCTTTCTATTTAAGGACTGAGATTATAAAATATTTGTGGTTGCCTGGTACACAAAATCTTAGGGAACTTTTGAGATCAAAACATTTATCTTCCATGACTTGAATCATAAACCTCCTAAGTTCTTTCAAGGGATGTCCAAGAATCATGAGTGTATTTTTTGGCCTCTAAGATTCTAAGAAAAGTATCATATTCTTTGCCTGTCTAGATGATAATGCACTTAAAAAATAATACAGTCATATTAGCATTTCTTAGTGTCAATTTTAAAGCTACGTTAAGTCTAGGTAAGAAATAACATCACAGTCTGAAAAAAAAGACAAAATTTTTTAAAAAAATTAGTTTACATTCAATATTATTTTGTATTAGTTTCAGGTGTACAGCATAGTGAAATAAAGATTTTTAAAAGAAGTAATTTACTGCCAAAATATTCAATCAGACCAGGGGAAAACATCCTAACATCTAGGAAAAGGAAGCAATTGGTTAGGAGTACAGCTCCATGAACAAAGGAAGCACAATGTCAGTTCCAGCTAAAGCAGCAGATCCGCCCCAGGAGGCAGGAGCAGTTCGCGGGAATCAATACACAGATAATCTGTGAGCAACTGATAGACAGGGATTGACAGTGATCTGGCCCCTTACGAACAAATCATGAGAACTCACCATTTCCCCTATTTGATGGGATTTCTGTAAAGAATGAGGTGAGCTGGTTGTGAAAGTGTGGAGAGTGATGACACCACGGTGACGTGATTCTGGAGAAAAAGCCTGTAGTAGGCTCTTTACCCGACTCTGCCTTACTCAACATTTATCAGTCACCGGCATAAAGACACAAAAGGCTATTTACAAAACGTGTAGGTAATGCAAGGCGGGCGGGTATCCGGTATGTTGGAATACAAAATCTATACTCCATTTCGTAAGGTTGGAATAGAAGTACAAAAGTAGCTAACTGGGAAAATTCAAGGTCCTGCAATTTGGTTGGGGAGAAAGCTGGACACACAGACCTTAAGCAATCCGTGGGAAGGAAGCTGGGGATTGCATAAACCAACCGCGAGACAGGCCACCATCGGGGCTGCTCAATTGGGCTGATCTTGCCCCCAGGGGACCTCTGGAAATGCCTGGAGACATTTATGGTTGTAGTGCACTAAGGGCATCCAGTGAGTGGAGGACGACCCCCCACAACAAAGCGTTATCTGGGCCCAAATGTGTCCAGGGCTGAAGTCGAGACATCCTGCGATAGGAAAACTACAATACCTTCATGATACAGCGACAGTCACGCAGTCACAGACGTGTGGAGCCAAAGGGCCCATTGAGGTCATCCCCACGGAGGTCCGGACTAGTCCTCCACCCTCTGCCTTGCTGGTTAAACCATATCTAGAAGGGTGTATAGCTCTGGGTATCAGTTTTTAAGAAGGATGCTGATAGATGGATGTGTGTATAGAGCAGAGCCACTAGGCTGCCGGCAGGTCTGGCACCCACATCATATGAGAAACAGTAAGAAGTTGTTGGAAAAAATGTTCAAAGAGTGCGGGTGGGAGTGGGCAAGGCAGGAGACTGACTGTAGGAAGTGCTCTCACGAAAGAAGCGCTGTGCACGCTCCGTGTCGTTCCAGAGGGCACAGCCAGGCCTCTTAAGAAGAAAGTAATACATCAATAGTAACTATGGATGTAACTTTTCATTCTATTCATTAACTGTAAGAGTTTATAGTTATGAAACTTATGGTGCGTTCTAAAATTATATGTATTTTATAAATAATTATAAAACAGCGTAAGTTTTAGTTACTATTGATGCTTAGCCCAGTAATGAGTGCGCTTAGTCTCCCTGGTGCTGTAAACTTGTCAGGCCTGGAGAAGGAATCTCTTCTTAGGGTCAGTGTCTCCATTCTGTCAGCCAAGTTCTAGAGGAAATTTTTATGTTGGGTAGGAGAACCGACGAGATGACTTCTAGGATTTCTGGGCTGGAAGATTTAGGGCCTTATTTCATACTCACTGGTTTCCCCCCAGAAACATTTAAAACAAGAGATGGTTTAAAAAACAACAACAATACTTACACACAATCTTCTTATCTGTACACAAACCAAATTCTAAATTGTTTCAGAATTGTCAAGAATTAGTATAATCCAAATACATGCTAACAAGCCCGGCCAGTTGGAACAAAATTAACTAAAAGACAGCACTATTTACAAAAGCATTGCAATCATTGCAAAATTATCTGAAATTCTGACCAGAATGTGGCCCAGCAGAAGAGCCATGGCCAAAGTATACTTGTGAAAAAAATTAACCAAGATAAACAATAAGAGTTGAAAGAATGTCCTTTTTTTAAGAAGATCGTCATTAGTATTCCTTTCATTTGTTTAATGAAGCAATTATTACCTGTCATATTTTGGAGGTGTTAAAGAACACATTTTAATCTGGTAACAGTTCTATCACATGATTCTCAGAAAATACATTAATTTTCGTACATATAACTGCCCAAATTTCTTCAATTATGGTGACTTGATTCTTGTGTGAAATTACCAGCTAGACAAAATGTGTCTTCTTTCTAGTCTTATTGTAAGAAGTGGCTCTAATTTTTAAGATACAATACAGCATAGTCACCTCAATTTCACATTTAGAGAATTTTCATAAAACACATTCCATTTAAAATAATATGAACAGTCAGCACAATCATTGCCTAATGAGGTGTATGAAATATTTAAGACCCTTAAAAGGTAAGAAAATAAACAGAGTAGATAAAAGGTAGGCCCGTTTAGCTTCTGGTACCTTACCTCCGCTTATAAAGGCGAGAATTAGGTAAGAACAGGGAGCCGTTCTCAATTGGCATCCCTTTGTGGGAACGAGGCCCCATATTCTGGAATAATCCTTCCTAACTACGGCAAATACATGACCACCCCAGGCTGGGAACTGTGACAGAAACAAGACAAGTGACACTCCTAAAACTCACTTCTGCTTTGGGTTTTGCTTCCCCTTCCAACTTTAACAATCACTGATTTTTTTTTTAAAGGTTGGCATTGACTCTTCATCTCTAGATCCCGATTTAAGGCCACCCAGTTTGTTTAATTATCTAGAAACAAGAACATGAAAGAGGCTGATCCCCATGGAGGCCATGAGGTCCTTACAGGGACATAGATCTCTGAGTACAGATGGCACCTCCCGTTCTAGCAAAGGCAGCCACTGAGAACAAGGGTTATTTGTCTAAAATCCATAATTACTTGGGAAATAAATCTGAACATATGTTTAGTGACTGCTGGTCCCAGCACTACATTCACTGATTAGGAAGAGATTATAAAATTAGTCCTGAGGACAAAGTGTGCCAGGGGAAAGGGGAGAGGCAGAAAGAGTGGGTGAAACTGAACCAGCAAATCTGCCAACAGCAACTGTGAAATTTGTCTATAAAATGCTAACTTCTTATTGTGTGCTATACATATTGTCTTTGCTAATTTTGGTTTTTTAAAAAACTCATTAAATGAGATTTTAAAGAAAGTTATGCAATGAGCTAATTTAATAAAAATTTGAAATAGAGAGAAACTGTTCTCCAAATGGGGGGGGGGGAACCCCCAAAACAAAAAACAATGTGCAAACAAAAGAATCATCCCTGAAAACAAACACAACAAACAAAACATCAATAAAAAGCAGGGGAATGACATGAAACGAAGGAAATCGGCTAATACAGGATATAAAGAAAAAAAGGAGTGTTCAAAGTTGGCTCTGTGCACAAGTAATGTAGGGAATGCTACCAGAACCCATCACGGAAGGCCCAGCCACAACCCCTTCCATTCCCGGGAGAAAGGGAGGGGACTGAGGTGGTTTAGCAAGAGGTTAGCAGCTGGAGGTCCTCACCTTTGGCTCCTTGAAGAAGAAAGCAGTTTCGCCCTCGATAATGGGCTGCAGCAAAGGGCTTCTCCGCTTGCTGGAAGGGGAACCCTGTGACAGGCGTTGACAAGTAGGTTACATTGCGAGCCCTTCCCCTTTTCCCGCCAGCTCTCCGCCTCTGCCTCACCAGGATTCACTGCTGCCCTTTAATGATGTGCTCTAACCCCCTCCCACCAAAAGTTCCCAGGAAAACCAGCAACAACCAAAGTTCTTTTCAAGTTGCTTCTTCACTCCAGAGCCCCACTCCTCCCCGCCCCAACCTAGGAGCTCCCATGAGAGCAAGAGCAGCACACACGTACCTTAACCAAACTCGCAGAGGAAACCCGAGCAGAACCGCCCACCTGCCTCCCCACCCCTTTCCTCCCCAATCGCGGCCACCACAAGATCACCTGCACTTAACAGCTTCACCTAGAATAGCGTCCGCTCCTGACGTGATGCAAAGGTTCTCTGACGACCCCAGTGTCCACTCACCCTATTCAGGGACACTAAGGGTTCCTAACTGAAGCATGAAAACGATTCCTTAGATTTAATCCTTGTGTTGGTTAGCTACTAATTCATTCCGCAGGGGATTTCTAGAAAAGGAGCTCCCTTCAAACACACCAGCCTGCAGTCCCTGGACCCTCCCTCCGTCACAGGAGCACGTGCACTGTGAAAAGGCGTGAAGGCCCCATCGGAAGCCAGGAAATAAAGGGAGGTGGGAGAGGAATGGGGAGGGGTGGCCAGGGGGAGTATGCCCTTCAACAACACAAGGAAGTGGTGTCTGCTTATTAAAGAGCCTAGAAGCCAGCAGAGGACGCCTTCAGGGCTCTGGCCAGAGGCAAGGAGTCCCCAGGAGGTGGACACGGATTCACAGGGCACTCACAGGGGGAGGTGGAGAAGCCCAGACTGCGGGGGTGGGGGGAGGGGGCTTGGCCAGTCCTGAAAGGCTCTCCCAGAGCTGCTGCTCCCTGCTCCAGACAAAAATCAAAACTCCAAGGCCAACAGCGGCTAAGTCCCAGGATGGTGGCCTCTGAGAGCACTTTCACAGTCATTAGCCTCGCACTTCCACCTCACACTTCTCTGAGTCCTCCAAAGGAGAAGGCCCGCTGTCCGCTGTCCGGAGTTCCTTAGCAGACTTCTCCCTGGATAGGAGCCCTGCATCCCCTCTGAGAGGCGGAGAGAAGGACCCTCCCTCCGTCACAGTCGCCCCTGGGGCCAGAGGCACTCCTGGTGCAGAGGCCTGGAGAAAGAACAGCCCTGTCCCCTGGGTGCTCTGTCTCGGAGGAAAAGGTGGGGGAGTCGGCCCAGCACGTGTCAGGGGGACGTTCCTGGCCAAAGCATGACTCTCAAAAGAAAAAAAAAATTCTATCAGCTTCAGATTTGCTCATTTTTTTTTTGACCAGTGTAGTCTCAGAAGTCTTTGATAAATTCTTCATTCCTCAAGCTTACGGGCCATCGATATTAATGGCACGATCAACTCTTAAAGCCTATTCTTTAATGAGATGGCAGGCTAGGGCCCTCCTATTAGCCAGGGCCCATTCAACCAGGTAACCAACAACAGAGAGGTGAACTCACCATGATGGGCATGGTGTTGGCTCGGGACAGGATCTGTTTGACCAGCCGGTACCTGTCATAGAGTGGCTTCATAACCTGTCGTTCGTTCTTGGTGACCTGGAAAGCAAGAACAAGAGAGCTGAGAAGCCAGGCGACCAGCTGTCCCAGCATGCTCTGAGCCTAGAGAAAGTACAGATGATTCACATCAAGTTTCTCTATTCTCACAAAATTTATTTAAACTGACAACATTATTCAGTTGGTGTTTAAAATATCTACTTTAGCTACAGATCACTCTGGGAATCATTCCATTAGCAGCTTGGTTTCCTAAATCAAAACTATGATCACTTTTGGTTCCTTGTTTACAACTCCTCAAGGTTCAGAGTTCTCAGATCAGGGGTGGGGAACCTTTTTTCTGCCAAGGGCCATTTAGATGTTTATAACATCATCTGCGAGCCATAAAAAATTATTGACTTAAAGATTAGCCTGCTATATTTGATCAAACTTTTAATTAACTCAGCCCTAATGCCTTGGCAGGGCCAGACCAAATGATTTGGTGGGCTTTATACGGGATGTTCCCCATCCTTGTCCCAGATAATATACTATTTTCTAGTCCAGGAAAGAAGAAAGCATGTACTCCTGTTATTATACTTATCATGCAGTTTTGTAATCAGAATTTTTTTAGATGTCTTTCTCAAACCCCATGAAATTGTTTTGTTTTTAAGGACAAGATTCTGGCAAACAGTAGGATTTCAAGGAATATTGGCTAATATAACACATGGGTTGATTCATCTCTGGATACCTAAAATCTGGCACAGTGCTCACATATGTTTAAAGGACTGGGTCTATAGGTAGTGGGGAGGAATCAGGCCCAAGTCCCTGGTATAGTATTTGATACAGTACTTAAAGCTCTTTCTCTGCTGCTTCTCCTCCTTCCCATCATGCCTCAAGCTCCAAGGATAGACTAGGTTGTCTCATACCTCCCTGTCTAGTTCCCTTTGTCCTGGAATGGCTGTGGTTTGGCAAACTCAGATCAAGAGCCACCTCCTCTGTGCAGACATTTTCCAACATCTCCCATTCTGGAAGACCTGCACATTCTCTCCTTTGTGTCACCTACTGCAACCTGTGATTTGTAATTTTACATCTGCTTTGTTACAGACAGAATGTTTGTGTCACTCAAAATTCATGTGTTGAAACGTAATTCCCAATGTAATGGTATTTGGAAGAGGGGCCTTTGCTCTCTCATTATTTTTAAAAGTTAAACCATTTTATAAAATATATTTTTATTGATTTCAGAGAGGAAGGGAGAGAGAAACATCAATGATGAGAGAGAATCATTGATAGGCTGCCTCCTGCACACCACCTACTGGGGATCAAGCCTACAACCTGGGCATGTACCCTCAACTGGAATTGAACCCCAGACCCTTCAGTCCATAGGCCAACGCTCTATCCACTGACCCAAACCAATTAGGGCTAGAGGTGGGGCCTTTGAGAGGTGACTGGGTAATGAGAGGTGGGATGCCATGAATGGGATTAGTACCCTTATAAAGAGTCCCCTAGTGCTCCCCTGTACCCAACCCCTTCTGCCATGTGAGGACAGCAAGACTGCCGTCTATGAAACTGAAAGAGGACCCTCACCAGACACCGAATCTGCTCACAGACACTGAATCGGCTCACACTTTGATCTTGGATTTCCCAGCCTCCAGAATTGTGAGAAATAAACATTTTAAAAGGTTTTTAGAATGGATTTTTAGAAAGAGAGGGAGAGAGAGAAACACCGATGTGAGAGTATAACATTAATTGGCTGCCTCTTGCACCCTCCCATCCCCCCAACGGGGATCGAGCCCGAATGCCCGGGCATGTGCCCTGACTTGGAATCAAACTGGCAACCCCCAGGTGCACAGGATGATGTCCAACCAACTCAGCCACACTAGTTAGGGCAAGAAATAAATTTCTGTTCTGAATAAGCCACCCAGTTCTATGGTAATCTGTTTATAGCAGCCCCAATGGATGATACATTTTTATACTCTACTAGAGGCCCAGTGAACGAAATCGTGCACCAGTAGGGTCCTCGGCCTGGACTGCAGGATTGGACCAAAATCAGCTCTCTGACATCCCCAAGGGGTCCCGGATTGCGAGAGGGCGCAGGCCAGGCCAAGGGACCTCACCAGTGCACAATCGGGGCTGGGGAAAGATGTGGGAGGTTGGCCAGCGGGAGAGGGAACTGCAGGAGGGCTCCAGGGCGTGTTGGGCTGGTCTCACTCAGTTCCAATTGGCCGGACCCCAGCAGCAAGCTAACCTAACGGTTGAAGTGTCTACCCCCTGGTGGTCAGTGCACGTTGTAGTGACTGGTCAACCAGTTGATTGTCTGCCACCTGGTGGTCAGTGCACATCATAGCAAGTGGTTGAGTGGCCTTAGCATATCATTAGTATACTACGTTTTGATTGGTTGAATGGCTGACCGGTCAACCAGACACTCAGCATATTAGGCTTTTACTATATAGGATAATAACTGTAGTTTGTTGACATTTCTGTTTCCTCTTTAGACTATAAGCTTCTTGAGAGCAGGAGCTTGTGTTTTCTGTCCCTGGCAACTATTTCAGTGCATGACATAATAGAAATAGTCTATAAATATTGCAGAATGAGTGAACAAATATTCCAAACATAATTAGTATACCCAATTCATTGATATGCATGCATTTCCCCTGTTTACTTAAATGATGAGAGATGAAGTGTCTTTGTTTCAAGATTGCTATTTGTCTTCTGCATTTTATTTCCATTGCACACATAGTGTTAGAAGTCAAGAGAGTGGTTTTCCTCGGTGGGGCAGGAGGGCATGCTATGGGCGGGAAGGGACACCAGGGAGCTAATGGGGGGTTGGTAACACATTGTGTCTTCATCTGGATGCTGGTTACCTGGATTTGTTTACATCAAGACATATAACCTGGGCTCTTTTCTGTGTTTACGTTATCCTTCAAGGAAAGTTCAATACAGCCACAAGTAAGTCTGAAGAACAGAAACGGAATGCTAGTACAAATTTCACCTGTGAGATGACAAAATTTAGGACTGGACCACACGAAATCGTGTTTGTTTGTTTTTTGATACAGGATGTATCCATTAGATGTGTTGCTGATAAGTTAAGGCATATCTTCACTGTCAACACATGATGTGGTGTGATCTAATGTGCAAGATAAACAATAGATGGTTTAGTTACGAAAAGGCACACTACAAATGAAAAGCAGCAGCCAGCACTTTCTCACTGTGGTCTAACTGCTGGCAGAAACATCTCTGATTTACAGAATGAGACTTAGCTGGTAAAATTGGACAGATAGAGCAAATTTCACCAAAACCAATTTCTTTTCAATTCTTTGTTCAAAACTCAAATTTTCTAGTTGGATTAGATGAAGAGGCTCACTGACTTAATTCTTTGGCTTACTTTGTTGACATTTAGATTTTCTATGAATTGCTCATGTTTAAAATTAATGACCCTCAGGAACTAACACCTATAAATGGTCTACTATAATTCAGTTTTTGACTATGGAAAGTTGAAACTCATCATGACTTCACCAAATTTAATACTGGCATTTGATAAAAGTATCTGAACATAAAAAATATCAAAGATCTTTAAGTTTGAGTGTAGAAAGTAGAAATACAACTTGAATTACACCAGAATTATTTTCAGACTATATATCTGAAGCCAAAGGGTTGTTCATACTAAAAGTTAATATAGCTTTCACCTGTCACATGCGGTTGTCCGTGCTGGATTTGTGAGCAGAGCCAAAAGCCAACCAAGAGTCAGATAAACAAAGCAGGGCTTTGGCTGGACTGTCAGGAAAGGACAGGCGGATGTGAAGTGGGCCATGGGAAAACCATTTGGAGGCTGACACTCTTATTCTTGAGTCATCAGTCATCAGGGATTCCCCCACTGACCAAGAATAGGCCTTTGAATGAGTGGATGGGTATTTCTGAGTCATAAAACTGCTAGCAGAAGACATGAGTTGGATTCCTGTAACTTGCATTCTTGGCCCATGGATTGGAAAATGACAACCCTCTCTTCTTCATTATCAGGTAAAATACAGTAGGCTAACTCTGCAACGATCAGATAATCCCCAAAAGCAAAGGAGAGTACTTATATATAGCTTTAGAATTTGCATTTAAATTTGAACATGATGTTGGGTGTCCCAAGGTTTTAAAATGTGAGATTAAAATATACTGATGAGGAAGAGACTCAAGAACCCAGGAGCTCTGAGCAAGCAACCCGTTCTCTCCCTCTCCCCTGTCATCAAGCAGGGGTCTACGAATCAGGCAGAGCAGGGAGCTGCAGCCATCTGCGCCGCTTCCCTCTGTGACACTGTCTACGCCTGAGAACCTTCAATACTGAGAAAGGCCACTTTAATAATAATTTGTAGGGAATATGTGTCAGTGTGTAAACGAGTGTGTTTTGTTACATGTCAGTCTGCCTATTGCGTGCCCCGTGAAAGCAAACAGCCTTCTTTACAATGTATAGAATTGGCAGATAATTATTTTTGCCTGTGACTTGGAGTTAGTGTCCCTTTAAATCAGAATCTGCAGATTCAGCAAAACCCAGGAACTAGGAGCACCAGCTCTTCTAAAAAATCCTAGAGTTTGGAATGATAGTTTAGCACTGGGAGTACATGTATTGTTAATTGTTTTTTTAAAGAGCGTTGCCCAAATGTTATTTACAGTCCAGAGTCCATGGCAACACCACGGATCTGAGAATGAAAAGTTCACTCTGATTGTGGACTGGCCAGGTACCAAATGGACTCTGCCTTCCTGAGGTCAGAGCATCGTGTTCCAGAGCGAGGCAGAGAGCCTGACCCTGCACCTGGGACAAGTGACAAACTCCCAGAGCGTCCGTTCCCTGCCCGTGAGATGCTAGAATCTGACCCGGAAAGGCGTTCTTCCTTCGTCAGAAAAAATGATGAAAGGAAGGGGAATAGAAAGACAGGGCCAAAAACTAGTATTTCATATTGCTAATTATAAGAGTGCTAAAAATGTGCATTCTTTCTCCTGATTCAGTCACTAAGAAGTAAGCCACAGGGCACGGAACATGTAATTGTAACAGAAGTGAAAGCTATCATTTACTTGGCAATTCCCTCTCCCCCCAGCAGAGCCACTCTGCCCAACTTCCTTCAGTGCCAGACGCCCTACAGGTAAATGTGTGTGCCTGTCAGGTCACTTAGTCTCCAGACAACCTAAGACAGACATCTATTACACCGACAGCCCCGAGGCTCTGAGAGGTTACCTCCGTGCCCGAAGTCACAGAGTACTTCCATCTACGACTGGGGCTGGGTTCTGAACCTATGTCTGCCGAACCTCAGAGCAACTCAGCCACAGGTACCTCGTCCACCCACCCCCAACCCCAACCTCCTGAACTGGCTTAAGGTTAAGTCTAGGATGCAGCTGAGAGATCTCAGGGCCCCAGGCAAGGAAGCCTTTAATGTCGTGCCATGAATCCACGCAATGAAAAGAAGTAAAACACACAAGCCTTGCCGCCTCCGCCTAGGGACTGTCTGGTGGCCATGACGAGGCACTCAAAGCTCTGAGCCTACTGTTGGCAGTTCAGTTTCTGGATACTCCAGTAGAGAAGGACAAAGTTTCACAAGGTATGTGAGCTCCAGTGCATTTACTACTTGGTTCAATGCTTTTAAAGATCCAAAACAAAACTTGGCTTGAAAAAAAACAAAACAACTTGGCTGGAAACATGACCATCATCCCAGAGCGCCAGTGTTTTTCCACTGCAGGGCAGGCCAGCAAAATCAATCACCATCAGCCCCAGCTTCTTTTTTTTTAGCTTAAACCTGATAGACTCAGAACCAAAATACCATGGAAGATGCATTTTACAGATCGTTCATTGGGCATACGCTGTGGCAGGTCTTGTGCTATTGGCTGAGGATTAGCTTCACAAAACCCAGGGTCCCAAAGGCCCTCACAGACCTCTAGTGCATTATTCTGGAAGCTTCTTTATTTAAAAGAACCTATCTCAGGTGAAAAAACTGTCTCCATTATATAGCTATGCTGAAATTGGAAAAGAGATGCATGCTTTTTGGCTATATAAAAATCCTTCTGTAGACATAAACTTCATGTTTTTTATACCTGCTTTTAAGAGTTGATTTTACTGGGTTCTTGACAACATTCTGAACAGGTTACTGAGAGTAACTGGCACGGACAGCTGACTACAGGTTCCCTAAGGAAGAGAGAAGCCTATCACGCTCCTGTCTTCCCCGGACTGACACGAACTCTCGCGAGTAACGAACTGCCTCAAATGCTCCTTGTTACGAAAAGGCAGAGCCCTATTTTGGACTCCTCACACTTTTGGTTCTGGGTGGCAGCTGCGACTTCTCCACGGACAAACACTGGTTGCAACTGCTCTCCAGAGAGATCAAATTTGAGGGCAGATGATTCTAGTTTAGCCCATTTACTTATGGGTAAGAATGCCCAGAGCCAGTATCAGCTCATGGAGGCAGACGTAGGGACAGCGAAGCCTCCTCACTTCAGAGGTCTGTGCACCAATTCATATGCCCCTCGCCTCCCCAGTTGCCCCTTGAAGCAGGGCACCGGGGACTAAATTTTAGTTGCAAACTAATTTTTCTTCGGAACTCCATTAAATTCAGCATCTACAAGGTAGTGAAATGCTTATCACAGGTTTAGCCTCATTATTTTGCAAATAATGAGGTTCCTTACTGTTTAGCAGATGACTCTGCCAGCAGGTCTTGTGCTATTGGCTGAGGATTAGCTTCACAAAACCCAGGGTCCCAAAGGTGTCCCTCCATCCACCACTCTTCCCATTGGGACCTGTGTGGCATGTCCTATGCTTCTACCATGGTTTAGGGCAGTGGTCGGCAAACTGCGGCTCGCGAGCCACATGCTAAACAGAAAGCTTGGTTCCGGTGAAAACGGAGTCATCTGCTAAACAGTAAGGAACCTCATTATTTGCAAAATACCAAACACGGAAGATCCATTTCTAAAGCCAGAGGATTTAGCCCGTTCAGAAAGAGAAGTCAGTGCACCCACATACA